TTTAATCAGGGAGTGAGGTGCCTATCAGACTGAAAGAACCTGGATTTTATCTTGTGCTAAAGCGCGTAATGACTTGCTGCTTGGCTTCCTGATACCAGGAGTACTCGTCCAAATACTCGGTATCGGCACCAATACTAGTATCGGTATCTGTGCATCCTCCCTAACGGGAATGCATGAAGATCAAATCGTGCTTACAGACAGATTTTATGGATAGCCCAAGCCATGGTGACTGTAGGTTGACGTGTACACACATAGCTGAATGCATTTTTGTAAATGCAGACTGCACAGGATCTTATGCTAGTTAAAGTGCACTGCATGTTCACTACAGCCTGTGTTCACTTCAGAGGTTGATGGGGGCTTTTAAAGAGGAACTCCAGGATTTTCAAAAGTTAACCCTTGCAGTAGGACTAACCCCAAACTGCAACGGTTAACTGCTCATTTTGGTCTAGGGGTGCATATAAAGAAAATGTATTTCCCTGATTTTCAACTCTGCCTGGCTTCGAGTTCCTGCAGCCTCTTCTTCCCCGGGCTCTGGCAGTCTGAGCCCTGCTCACGACATCACGTCTATGCAAGGTCCATTCACTTGCATTACTTGCATTAGACGTGAGGACACAGAGGGACATATACCACAACCGAAGTGGAGGGGGAGAGAGGTGAGTGGTCACTGTCGCAGGATCGAGGAGCGGGTGAGTGCATCTTTATTATTCTGTTCCGTAGATCAAAACGAGCAGTAAAATGGTGTGTGTAGGTATTTTAGTACATCAGTCACTTCTTTCTTTTACACAATTTACTCTGTTAGATCTATGAGTAAGTATTTGTAGTCTTGCTAAGCTTCCTCAGTTGCTACCTCATTTCTATAGCAGGCACCTCTAGTTGTCTACACTTTGTTTAAAGAGCACCCCATGAATCCTAATACCTAGGGTGCTCTGGTATGCAATTGCTGACCTTTGCTAGGAAGTTGGCCCTGCCTCTGCCTTAGGACTGATTCACACCTAGGTGACACAGTTCATGCGTGTTTCTACATACAGTAGCAGCATGCGGTTATTTGCGCATTATGCACATTTTTAATGAGCGTAGATGAAGACACATGTTTTGACTGGCAGCTCATACAACATTGAGGGCAATGGAAGAAGCGTGTTTAAATGCACAAAAGCGTTCAAAAAAATGTGCAACATGCTTCTGCCGCACATTTTTGGCCATTTCCAATGAAGTCTATGGGGACGAAAAGAAAAGTCTTTGGGCTTTTAACTGCCCAAAGAAGCTCCTCTATCTTTTCAGGTGTCTGGCGTCTTCCTGCTCAGGTGTGAACCAGGGCCATTGAAAATCATGAGATTTCTTGTGTTGGGCATTTAAAAGCTCTTTTCAAACTGCTCCAAAAATCCTAGGTGTGAACCAGGCCTTACAGTTGGTGATTGACTCCACCCATCACCAGGGGTGGATCCAGAGTCTAGTCTCCGGAGGGGCACTGGCAGAAAAAAAAGCCCCCCACATCTGGCTCTTCCACTGCTACTGTGCCCATCTCTATCCTCTCCCACCTCTGTTTTCACGCGCCCTCCCCCCTGGCTCTTCCACTGCTACTGTGCCACCCCTTTCCTCTCCCACCGCCTCTGTGTCCACTGCCCACAGCTCTCCCCCCGGGGTACAACGCACTCACCTGACCTCTCCTTCTGGGATGTTTCCGCCGAGCGTTCTGTACTCACACAAATTAGGCAGCTGCAAAACCCCAGCGTGGGCTGAGACGGCCGCCTAATTTGCCTAAACACAGTGCAACCTCTGCTTTGGGTCCCGATTGTTCGGTGCGGCCGGCCCAGCCGAACAATCCAACCCCCCGCCGCCATGGCACTGTGTGGTTAACAGGAAGGCTGCCGAGGTCCCCAGCAAGCGGGAGATCTCAGGCAGCCACTTCGGTTTAAAAATTTAGTGCCAGTGTTCTGTCGAACGCCAACCCAGTATCTGGGTTGCTTGCGCACAGATGGGATTAACGAGGAAACAGGCATTTATGTACAAAGTATTCGTTTGAAATGGTTACTTGTGTCCGTTAATATTATGCCGTCCATGGCAGTAAATGATGGATGCCGGATGGAAGTGAATAACGGATGGCATATTATTAACGGTCACATCTAACGATTTAAACTAAATACTTTGTCAATAAATCCCTGTTTCCTCCATAATACTGGTCTGTGCGCAAGCGCAGATACTGAGGTCGGCAAATTTGACTACGTCGGCGTTCTCAACAGAATACCGGCATCTGCGCTTAGTATCGGGGAATTTTCACGAGTATGAGTACGTGAAAATGCCCATTATTGGGACGGACTGGTGCATACCTACTTAAAAATATAATGCATTGCTGGGACTTGTAGTCCTGCAGCCGCACAGCCGCCCGTACATGCTGCGGGTTGCAGAGCGGCGGGGAAGGAGCGGCACTATCTCGGGGGCTTTTCTTCCTCTCTGAACGCCAGAGCCCGGTTGCAATTGCGACTGCTGTGACCCTGGTAGTTCCGCCAGCGCTGGAATTTGTAGTCCTGCATATAGCTGGTGGTAACAGTTATGCAGAATACCACCAGCTATACATTTTACATAAAGTCAGCATACCACCAGCCAATTGGTGTCTGTATGTTGGAGAGCAATGGGTTTTGGGACTCCTGTATGTTTTATTACAGGCCTGGACAAATCTTCCTCAAATCTAGGCACCAGCATCAGAAAGTTGGCAAGCAGCAACAATGCAGGTTTCATCTGGCACGCGCAGTTCTCACCCCATAAGTGGTCATTTTATACAGGTCTCTTCAAATCTCCTATCCCCTTTCCTGCACATGACGGCAGTCATACATGTTAGCGTACTTATCAGCAGTATGATTACATCATCTGGGTATACTAGTAATCCTTAAATGCTCCCTCACTCAGACCTATCTATCATCAGATGGGCAACCCACCACACAGTCATGGAGCTGTAACCATTGTCCTCTACATATTACACGCAGAGGAAGTCGGCTCCAGCTTCCAGGCACTGGTTGCGGTGCCGTGGGTTGCCAGGCTGATATGTAGGTCTATGTGAAGGAGCAGGACAAACCCAGTCAAGAGTTGGCATGGTGACCTTGCAACGAGGATTTCAATAACTATTGTGAACGGTTGTAGTATTAAAGCTGAACTGACATGTAGGACCTGGTGCCTGCTAAGACATGAAGGTGGCAGTTCATTGAGTGTTTTGCTTTATTTAGGCTTCAGCCGGTTGATGCAACATCTGTATGCTAAGCATGATAATATAATATTAAGGGGTAAACCTAAGAACAAACCTTTTATATATTGTCAGGCCTTAGCTGTGCATTTATTTTGCATGTCCATGTAACTATATGTGAATTGAACTGAAACCACATACAATGGTTTCTTCCTTTTTCAAGGTATCTTTTGTAAAACACATATTCTCCACTCCCCCGTCGTATAACAGAGGTGTATATAGAGGAAGCCATGTTTGTAGCCCAAATCAGGGGAGCAGTCTAGGTATGACAACCATAGATACAGTAGAGTGAGTGGGCCTAGCCGCTCTAGAACAGGAAGGGGGTTATTCACAGGATTACCAGGGTAAAATGAGGGGAGAAAAAGCTGCTAATTTATTTTTGTTTCTGGCTTTAGATATGCATTAAATCGGCTTTAGTCTAAGGCAGGATTTATATAGTGGTGTATAGTGTTGGTGTTATTGTCTATAGTAACTGCCATCAATAGTTTACTGTGAACTTCAAGTGTTTATATCATGGCTTTCATATCCTGTTTTCTGCTCTAAGCATCATGAAAAAAAATGCAGTGACCCAAAGCAACCAGATGACACCTTTTTATTGGTGTAGAGAGGTCAGAAGAGTGGAAAAGGAATTACTATAAGCCTACCTAACATTCGTTTCTTCAATGCACAAAGGGATTTTTCAAGAGTCTCAGTCCTACTAGCAACTTCTGTTCTTCTGAGGAAGGAAGTCTTAAAACCGCTAGTCAGAACACTGTCCTGGTCCAAACCTTCCCCAACCCACTCCCATCACAGTGGCTTTAATGCAGAGAACGTGCAGCAGTGCAGGAAACAGTGGTCTGTCATTGTATTCCCTGCGATCCCTCATTGTCTATCATTTATGGTCTTTTACATATTTCTCTATTGCCCTCTGATCTTTTCTATTTCTCTCTTACCAACTCTTTGTTTACAATTGTACATACAAGTGTATTAAATACTTTCATGGACATTTTTTCCTGTGTTAAATAGCTAACATATACAGCATCCTCGTTGACTGACTGAATATCTAGGTCACAGTGTGTAATTTATTAAAATACAATGTCGGCATCAATATATACCCCTGCCCTACCTAACTGTCTGTATATCGTGTGCACCTTTTTTGTATCTGGCTCCGATAACTCATTCTATGCTTTTGTCTTTGTTGTACCTCTTATACCTCCTGTATCATTCTATTTGTTACAATAATATTTCAACAAACACATCTTAAATGAAAATAAAGTCTAATTGTTGACAGATCACTGTTGACCTTTATCCAAAAGTAAATAATTTGCCTCTCCCTTACTTGTAGTACGCATTTCTTATTACAGTATTTTATATTTAATAACATCACTTGCAAAGCACGCAAGTGGGCCTACAAGGCAGTGTCAACTACCTGTAGCAACCAGCTATTGTCCCAATGTAAAAATATCAAAACAAATCTGGTCTAGAAGTCACTGCGGGGCTGGACAAATCCAAGGAGCCAGGTATCCAATACTCTTTAAAAAGCACAACTGACGCCTAACTTTTGAGGGTTTTCTCTAGTTATTGTTAATAGAGCTGGCACCTAAAAGTATCCTGCTGGCTCCTGAATTTCTTATTAATTTGTCCACCCCTGGGGTACTGTACTTTTCACAGTCTTGCTACTCCTTTTTAGGTTTCTGGTCTCAGAAAACACTAACCTATATCTCATGTTCAAAATGATCCTGTATAAATATCGATACCAACGCAGCTACTTCTTTTGTTTCCATTGTAGATGGCAAGGTTCCACTTTTCCCTTTCAAAAGAGCCAATTCTGTGAGAGACAGAGTGAAGAAGTTTACAGAAGAGCCCCCAGGCATGCCTCCTCCTTTTACTAACAGATTCTCCAGCATGAGAGGTGAGAGACTCCCTGCAAGAGGAGGACGTATACAGCAGCAGCAATCCCTGTTCTCTGCAGGTCAGAAGAATGGCCACGACCACTCGCAGGTGGCACAGGAAGAAAAGGTAGCCACTAAATCTGCGCTTGGTCACACAGCTTCAGGACTTGGTAGCCAGAAAAGTGGTCAAAGTACAGGAAGCAGTAACAGAACACACAACAGTAAACCAACATCTGTACCTGAAATAAAGAACTTCAGGAGCTGCTCCTTTAAAGGATCCTCGGCTCATGGCTCTGCAGGACTCGGCACATCCTCTGGGGAAGTGAACAGAAGACTTCCCCAAAGCAAAGGCTCATTCATCCCAAAGCAGGAAGGTGGGAGGAGCAACACAGACCAATTGCAAGTTACCCAGGCCACAACAGAGGGGGGGAGACAAGTTGAAAATACAGATGGGACCAGTACAACATCAGTGGTACAAGACAGTGCACAGCGCGCTACATCACCTCTGTGTACATCTTCCAAAGACACTCAGGACGACGACATGAAGACCTTGCTCACCATTGAGATCAAAGATGGACGGAATCAAGGGACAAGTAGTCGGATCGTGGGGCAGCCAGGAAATCAAAGAGCAGGTAGAGTCCAATTTATGAAACCTCTTTCATAAGTAATATGTAAGGATTTTAATAATACACATAACTCTGGTTATCATAAAAGGTCCACAATTCTGTTAATTTTAGTCATGCTGTGGTCACACAGTGGTCCCACAGTCTTGCATAAGTCTACATATTGATTAATATTAGATGACATTTTTACATCCTTAATATAATCTGCAATTTATAATGATTGCATATCTGCGGTGGCATGCAAAGGGTGTAAGTTTTGACTTGATTTGGTGTTCTGCTGACCCCTAGTGGTGGGTTTATATAATGTCTTCATGGAAAAGCCACAAGCCTTACTGAGAGCGTTGTATTTAAGCCAATCTTTCGGAGAGAATGGACATTTTCTGCCTCCTAAAGAGCCTGCTGTGGTGCCATGGTGTCAAACCATACACATTATTAAACTGAATACAATGGATTAGTTGCATTTTTATTTTGGGGAAACCCTTTTAAGTATTGTACCTGAATTTCAGGTTTGGTAAGTTGTTAATAAGATCTAAGAGACATGAACATTCAATATGGCCTAATATCCAGGTTTACTTATTTATTATGCCAATGCCATTTCTGTTAATACTGCCTGCTGAATGGTATGGGCAAATATTTGTATGTTTTCCTGTTTTGGATTTGCGTGGAAAATAACAATTGCAATTCTAATGCAGTTTTTCTGAACACCGAATACATAAATGAAAACATAGTGATATATACAAAATGCCTCATATTAGTTTAAATTACCACTGTGCTGTTGATCCTAACACAAACTACCTGCTAGTTGGCCTTCTATACCAGAGATAGAGATATATAGATAGATCTAGATATCTAGCTATAGATAGATCTAGATATATCTAGATATATAGATAAACATGATGCCAATAAAAGACACTTGCAGAATATATCCATGCACCTTCACCACCAGTGTCTTTTATTGTCGTCATGTTTACTTGGAGACGTTTAGCCCCTGCACAATGTCTTCTCTAAAGCCATCCATCATGTGGCTCCATTACATCACTAGCAGGTCATGGAAATAAACAGAAGCCAGTTATACCACATGCACGGCACTCTCATTGGCAGCAAAGAAAAGAATTATGGTATTTTAATGTCAGTTATTAAAAACAGAACACTGTTTTAACTACTACTTTTACTGGCTCAGAGTGTGCAGACCTTTCTGGTGTATATACAGTGGGCTTCTGCATTCACTATGCTTTCCAAATGTTCCTGTGTTTCCTTGAATTGTTCATGCAAGCAGACCTGCCTCAGACGTTTTGTTTACTGAAATGTGATAAAGCTAGTGGCAGCAGCCAAATATGACCACTGTAACCACCCAGTTTGGAAAATGAGACCTGAATGTTGGCGTCTCACCATTTTTGAGTGACAGGCAAATGATGCCTTGAGGTCATATGAGGTATTAACAGAACATTTTTTTACTGACACAGGACTAATATTGGGGTTTTCCAAGTCGCATTCTCTGTGTAGTAACACAAAAGTCCTGAGATGAAAGTGCAGAATCTCCACTGCTTATGATTTGATGGATTAAAGCTCAAAAAAGGGTTCATCAATGAAAGGTGAATAAAAGTGGAGCTGTTGCCCAAAACAGCCAAACTGATTACACATTTTATTCTCCGGCACCAAAATGCTGGAAGTATGTGAGCAACTTTTTTTTTTTTTTTCTTGCTCCAGCATTCATAAATTAAATGAATGCTGGAGGCCATGTTTCCACTGTAGGTGGATAGGAACCCACACATGTCCTGTACGTTGCCGCAGAGCAGGATATAGGTCTACACTAGCTGTTCATTTTGGGAGAAATTACAATGTATGACAGAATCCCAAGTATGTGCGAGTTCAGCAAGTAATCCGTGTATTTAATTGTTTAACTTTTTGTTTCCTAAGAACTGACTTTGGGTCTGACGGCTTCCCCATTCAGAATTGGCAGTGGTGTCGCCACCAGCAGCATCAACACAAGCGGAGTCAATGCAGGCAGCGAAATCAGTTCAAGCAACATCAATTTAAGCAGTGGAATCAATGCAAGGATTGTGAACACAAGCAGCGCTAATGCTGGTAGTGGGATAAGTGCAAGCAGCATCAATTTGGGCAACAGGACCAATGCAAGCAGTTACACTACAAGCAGCGACAATGCAGGCAAAACCATCAGTGTTGACAGTGGAATCAGTACTAATGGAGAAAGCTCCAAGGTAATTCAAACTTGTTTGTTAAGACAGACTATATCAGTTTATAAATTGAAATCTGAATGACAGAAGTCAGTGGAGAGTTCAGCTGTCCTGTGCAACACTGTGTTAACACAAACAGCATCACAAATAATATATAAGTGAATTGGCTGGTTTCACAGTGTACTACATATTCATAATCTTAACTAGTATCCCAAAAACATCAAGGTGGAAATGTATAGCCCATGAAAACATATAATGATAAGACCAGCTTTTGCTGCAAGATGTCCTCAATCTGATGTCCAGCATCATTCGACCCAATTCCTCTGAGCTCTGGTCATCCTGAACCCACCCCAGTGTGTTGCTGGACAGTGAAAGAAGCAGCAGGGTGATCAACTCGTCTCTCTGCAGCTCTGCTTTCTCCTCCCATCACCATGCCTCTTGTCAGCACATGACCTGATTGGCTCCTTGTGCTGCTACCTACTCTCACACTCCAGCTCTGCTGCACAGGGACTGCAAGAGGCTGTTACCAGGTCACATTCAGGCACCTACACTGCTTGCATTTAATGATGTATTAATTAGAGAGCTACGTTAATTTGTGCTATATATTAATACTTGGTATGCCTAGAGTTAAGATTTTAGTACATTCAAATTTACCATCCCAGTTACTAGAGCAGGCATGGTCCTTGTGATCTTGAAAAGGTTTCTGAAATTATAAATACATTCTGAAATTTAGGTACATTGGCTATGATTGAACAATTAAGACTCATGTCTTGTAACAATTACAATTTAAAGCCCAAGTTATAGCTTGTAGTGTAGCTGTGGAACGATCAGGATCGTCAAATGTACAAAAATATTAGAGTGGCATGTTATTGGTAAACGTGTAGGGTTCAGTTTTCATCAGATTTGCTGCACCCTTCCAAATGCTTTTTATTCCCTTTATTATTAGGAGTCTTACCTAAAGTATGTATAAATGTTTAAATGTGTATTTACTCCCTTGAGTTTTTATGTCTTATGGCTGTGGAACATTGTGGATTTATTTAAATTTTTTTAAACTGATCAACAGAAATATACTCAAAGAAATTAAAACTGGTTTTGCAAAGTGACTTAATTATAATTGTTTTTTAAACCGATGCAATAATATACACTTCGTCAAAATGGGACCCCTAAATCATCACAGGTGCAGCCAGTTCCTTTCCTAAGTCACATGATTTGGGTATGTGGGGATCACCAGTGTGTAGTATAAATACATGTATATCTGGAAGGCCCAACAGCTCGTGATTCTGTATCCAGGCATAACCTACACTTTGAAGACAAATGAACACTCAAACCAGTAACTCAATAAAAAGGCAATTGAAAAGTACAGTTAAATCATTAAGATTATGGCACATTTCGAAGTCTAAAGAGAAGTCGTCCCACTAAAAATGAGCGACTCCGCAAGAAGTAAACTAGCAAGGGAGACCACCAAAAAACCTATGATCATTGTGAAGTAGGTACAAACCTCAGTGGCTGAAATTGAGACTACACATGCAAGAACTGTTTCACGGGTGCTTCACCAGTTGCAGCATTATGGGAGTGTGGCAGATCAAAGCCATTGTTGACTAAAACCCAAGACCTCTCAACTACAGTTTGGCAGAAGGCATGTGGGTGAGTGATGTTAGCTGACCATCAGACTGAACACCATGCTTGGTCTAAGCACTGTATATCATCATAAATACACCATCCCCACCGTGAAGCATGCTGGTGGCTCATCATGCTGTGGGGAGGTTTCTCAGCAGCTGGCCCTGGAAGGCTTATAAGGGTAGAAAAAATTAATACGGGGAGGAAATCTCTAATGTAGTCTGCAAGAACCCAGGATCATGATTTGTCATCCAGCAAGACGGTAACACCAAGCGTAACGCCCAAACAAAATAAGAATGGCTTGAAACAGTGTTAATACCTTTGTGTGGCTAAATCAGAGTAAAGATCTCAATCCAATATAGCATTTATGTATGCTTCTGATGCAACCAGGAGCTTTAACAGTTTATCAACGGGAATAAGGAAAAATGTGCAGTGCCCAGAGGAGCAAACCTGATGGAGACCTATCCATACTATAATTGATGTCAAAGGTGCATCTACTAATGCAGGGAGCGCACACTTATAACGTCACAGTTTATATTTCTAACCTTAAAGGAAATTCCTTTTGGGGAAAAAAAAAAAGATGAATGCAATAGGGTTTTTTTTTCTGCATAGTCAAGCAGTTGCAACAGGCTCCTGCCTATGTCCATACCGAGATAGAGACATTCAGTAACATGGAAGGAAGGAAGTGTCAATGGGCTACAAATGCAATTCAGGTAATTATTAGCCTGTTCAGTAAAGAGTATATTTCTATTGATCAGTGTGAATACAGAGCACGGTAAGTATGTAAAAATGTGAGATCCCATACCAAATGATTCTCGGCTTAGTTTACAGCTGTGTGCCGTATTCTCTTTCGCAACCAGGCTTCTTTATTGGCCTGATGCATACATTAATTTTCAAGCTTCAGTGGCAAACACAACCATCTGCAAAAGTAATTTTGCACTGAAAGGTGACTTTGAATGCATCTCTATCAGGCCAGTTAACTCCACAGTGGCAGTCCTGGGTTCCAGGAGATTGTGCTACATTTATTACATGGAATAGAACAGAATACACTGTTGCATGCAGACTTCATTTTTACCCAGAAGGTTAACTGACGGCCTACAGCAATTGGAAGACCTAGAAAGCAAAGCGGCATGATTAGTAGTCTCATCATATGCTAGTTATGTAACCGTGCAGGGTTGTGAGTTCTACAGTGCCAGTCAGATTTGATTGCATACTTGAAGTAGGCAGCAGCAGTCGATCCATACTCCATTAAACTCCATTAAAAATTAAACTGAGCCCAACATAGGTGAAAACTTAAAACAATACTGCTTAGAAAATCTTAAATGTTTTGGAATTGAACCTAAACTAAAGAACAACAGTTGTTTGGTTTTTTTTTTCAATTTTATGTCTGTATAAGCCAGGGTTTCCTGCAAAGCATTGTTCTAGTGCAGGCAGCAGAACAGTTAACTTGCTGCTTCATCTCTAGGAATAGGCAGCTTCCTGCCACCTGCTGTGTCCATATCTTTCTTCCCTTTGTGTCCCCACAGAGATGTTATGTAAATATATTTATAGCTCCTGTCTGTAAACATTCCCCCATATCTGGATTAGAATGGGAATCTGAGCTGGGTCCAAGCTGTGTCCTTGGACAGATCCACTCTGATTTGTGACAGTTACTCTGCTGAGAGATACACCCACCCAACATCCTGCCCGGTGTCTGTTACTAGTTCCTGCCCTAAGCTAGCTTTCCAGGCAGAGCTGATCTAACCATGCCTAGTGCAGGTACCCAGGAGCTGGATAACCAGCTGTCAGAGCCAGTATACAGTGCTGAGCATGAGCTCCGGATTTTTCAGAAGCAGATCTCACAGCAGCTGCGAGACATGGCCATGTTACTGGACCCACTGGCAACTACGGTCAATGACTTAAAGGAAGAAAATCTTCAACTCCATCTAGAACAAGAGAGGCTAGTACAGCAGGTGGAGGAGCTGACTCTCTTCCTTGGTGTTCAAGAACCATGCGACTCTGTGCCTCATCCTCCAAGGTTTGCAAGTACTCGTAGATCCTCCTCTGTGCATCTGTCTCGAAGTAACAGCCTTGTAAGTGTCTTTGGTAATCAATTTTTGCTTTCCTGAGAGTTGTTTTAAAGTAAACTCTAGGCGTGAATGCTAACTCTTGAAGTGTGGCTACCCCTGCACTGCAAGGGTTAAGTGCTTATTTTCGTCTGGGAACAAAAATAATAAAGATATACTCATCTAAACTTTGCAGCTGGCTGTAAGACTGGTCCCTGTAGCCCACCTCTTCCTCCGCTCCAGTGATGGAATGTCCCTCTGTGTCTTTATGTCCTATACACTGACTAGGGCGTGATGACTCACAAAACCTTAGATCGTTGGAGCGGAGTGGGAGCGAGGCTTCAGGGACTGGTCTAGCAGCCAGCTGGCACTGAGGTTCAAGTGAGTCTATCTTTGTTTTTTGAATTCCTAGACAAAATGAGCACTTAAACCTTGTATTGTGTGGGTAGCCCCACTGCAAAGATTGAGATTCCTGTTTAAAGGAGAATTATGGGGAGAGTGAAATACACTCATCCCCATAATTAGAACTGGTGTGTGACACTGAAGCTTTCACACGTCTGCTCTATTGATCGAGTACTGAGCATTCCCATGCCGCCAATTGCTCAGTTCCCGATCATCTCCCTGCAGAGAGCCGTGACTGTCAGTCACCACTCCCCGCAGGGATTCCCCTCTCACCTCTCTGTTCCTCCAGCGCTGACTAGAGGAACAAATGGTGGAGGTGGTGGGCACAGCTGGCTCTGCCTCTATGGAGGCAGAGCCAGCTGTCAATCAGGTAGCGGGGTAAATTCTGACAATATTGTCCGGATCCGTCCTAGCTGTAGTGCGGCTATGCGTTGTCAGCATGTATCGGGCAAGTACATAGGGACGGCATGTAATTTGGGTAGCACAGTCTGTCAATTTTTATCATCTTTTAGCGTACAGCCAACCAGTTTTACCTTCCTGCATATTTGGTGGGAAAAGGGGTTGACCTGCTGCGTACTTTTATTAATATATATATATATATAGAAAAGATATAGATATCTATAGATATATGTACATACACTGTATATTTAGATAGAAGTTGTCTGTTTGGGCCAATACTGACCCCACAATAAAAAAAAATATTTTTTATTTTTATATATACAAAAATAAAGTTAACTGTTCATTCCCCTATCCCACTAAAATATGCAATAAGACCATTTTGTCCGGCAAACAGTTCATCTTAATGAGTCATCTGAAAACATGTTCTGCATTAAAAAGGCTGTGAGGTTATTTAGTTGCAATTACCCTTTTCAGAACTATTTTAAGGTTTTGTAGAAATGCCATTTGCATTGTTTGGCAATCCTTGCATCCTATAATAGCTCTTGGCATGAGGAAGCAGCCACATGTCCATGTGTTTGTGTGGTTCATTGGCAACTCATCCATCCAAATCCTCCATTGTCTGCTCTGGTTTCATATCCTGTGGGCAGTGTTCATAAAAGTAGGATTATTTTTTGACATGTGAAATTGTTTAGCATATGTAGTGAAGAACAGCAACAAATGGAGAGCAGCCACTGACCATGAGAGAGATTGAGCGTTACTAATCAATGTTTTGCAGTGTGATTTACATTTCCTAATGAATTAAGGTAAAAGTTCATTTAAAACATGACTTATTCTGGCTTAAAAAACCCAATACACTGCTTCCTAGACTTCTGCCAGGAAATTATGGAAGAATGTTATTCATCTTACCACTAATAGGCTGCTGTGTTTAAAGTGCAACTTTTGGGAAACTAAAAAAAAAACTCTTGTAGTTAGGCTTCCCCTGCACTGCAAGGGTTAAACGCTCATTTTTGCCTAGAGTACCATTAAAAAACACTTTGATTTGCCTTATCCCTCACTCCCCCTGGCAGCCAACACTCTCTCCTCTTGTGACTAAATGCTGTGGGTTGTGGATGGCTTGGCATCCTCGCATAAGATTCAGGAGTGGTCTCATGTGATTTGTGAGGAGTTTAGGGATTTTCCAGGGTGAAGCTTAACTCCCTTAGTTCACCCATCAGGAATATCCATTGATGAGCAGTCGACCGTTCCTTAACCTTTCTCTACAAGAAAAGGATTTTCAAGTCCTAACAGGGTTATTCACAAAAGGGTGAAGAGTTTGGAGAAGACAGGAGAAGTGAACATTCTAGGACAAAATGGCTAAACTGGAAAGTGAGCTGAATTGGAGAATTTTTCCAAATCTGCTATTTTGTCCACTTCTCCTGCCTTCTCCTAACTCTTCACCCTTTAGTGAATAACCCTGTAAGTCTTTTTTTGTAATCCGCAACTTTCAGAGTAAATGGTTGTTGGGGGAGACACTTCTGTGGATACTCAAAAATGAATACTTACTTATGGCAGCACTTACCTCTAACCAGCAGAACCCACATTTCTGCTTTGCAGATAAAGGCTACAATTTCAGCCATACTTCTGCTCTGCTGTGTTAATGAGCTGATGAATATGCTCCCCAGTAGGGAAAAAAAGGGGCCACAGCACACATGTACATTAAGAAGAAGACCTGGTGGTTGCATATTTTTGTTGAAAGGCCATAATGGCCCTGAGTGAGGCCACGTGGTGAATATCGCAATACCTTTGGTTCAGTTGTCCTTTAACTAAGTAAAGAGTCCAAAGAACTAAAGTCTGTCCTGGAGAACATTACAGGGAATATTTATCAAGACTTGAATATTTTTAAAGAGTTTGTGTTTATGTACATAAATTTATGGATGCCATATTTGCTTATTGTTATGTATGCATGCTGCTCATCTAGTTTAGGAGCACAACACAATGCACTGCACACTTCCACAGCACTCAGCTCTGCTAACCAGTAAAGAGGACCTATATATTCTTCGTCCTTGTGGAAACTACATGTTACCTTTTAGGTACCTTTTTATTTATGCAGCCTCCTAAAGGCCAAACTACTACTAGCTCAAACTATGGGATGGGAAGTCTATTGCAGTAAATGAACTGAGAATCTTCTCACCTGGATAGCACATTGGTTATTCCTGGACTCTCCTTTTCCAGTGCAATTCTGAGGACAGTACAGGCCTTAGGTTTAGAGTTTCACAGATACTGAGAAAAAACGCTGATATTTTAGAATGTAGTATTGTCTCCTACGACTTATCCTAGGCTTGTCCTTGGGCTCCTCTTGCTGAATGTACTATAATTTACAGATGGGTATGTTTCTAGCGGCTACAAATCTGCACTGATCCTGGAAATATGGCACACCTACCATGTGAAAATATGAATAAGCAAAACTATTTAAAAAAATGTCATCTTGGTAGGCAAGGTTTAACTTTTTGCCTAAATATTAACATACATTACATGTTTCTTTCACAGGTTGAAGCAGAGCCACCACAGCCGACTAACCAGCAGGTAGAGGTATTTCTTCCAAGCACATCTGAGAAAGTAGAACCAGAAAAGAAAGCAAAGCTTACAGCAGATGAACTGTGCACTATAGAAGATGAGGATGTCCTTGACAAAATGGTGAGAACATTGTGAACTGACTGCTAATATAAAAGTGTAGTTGGATTTCCTTCTTCCTGATTGTCAGGATAAAGCACCATCTGGTTTGAAATGAGGCCAGTGTACCCTACAGCCGTTTCTGTGTTGGGTTGATTTCTGAAACTTAACATCTTGCTATGTAAACCAGTTTAAAAACCTCTTTCAGCATCATATTATTATTGTCATATTTTCTCATCTTCACTCCAGAGATAAACCGGGGCATTTGAACATAACGGAAGTCAAAGGCTTGCCATAAATGGATAGAAGTTGTCACATTACACAAACTGTTCTCAAGCACTAATGTGATGATCTCACCATGTATGGACAGGGGACCTGAGGATCTCTTTTATGATGTATCGTAGGTTTCAGAATTCTGGCCAACAAACTAAGGTTCTTTTCTGTCTATGCAGAGATAAGCCAGCATCTTGCTGCACTGTCTGTGCCAAGTAACAGGCAGATTGCTTGTTATGCACTGAATTGTGGATGTGCATGTTTGATGAAGGTATTGCCCAAGAATTTTTGAACAAGCAACCAGATCTCTTTGGTGTGGCATCTTGTGACTGCTAAACATTTTTTTTCCAGACGATACACATAGCTCTTCATAACATGCTGTGTGCATGTTGATACATGCAGCAACATTTTCACCACCAGCCTTTCTAAAAGGAACAGGTGATCACCTAAGAAATCCTTTGCACATTTTCTTCATTCATAGTTGGGAGCATTGTGTTTCTACAGACATTGGTTATCTATAATAATCTGGAGTCCATGGAGTTAATTTCCTTTTCTATTGCTTGGTTAGAGGGAAATGTATATCATAGATTTAAGTACCGTTTCATGTTGTTTAAATCCGTTATTTCAGTATTAAATGCAATACTGTTAAAAAAAATAAAATGTATGTATGTATGTATGTATGTATGTATGTATGTATGATTTTATATAGCACCAACAGTTTGCACAGTGCTACACAAAACAGATGGAGACAGTACAGTTACAATACAATTCTGAGGGATGAGCTTATGGGGAAAGTACAGTTGTTGGATGCAACATAGGCTTTCCTGAAGAGATGATAATTTTTCAAGGATCTCCTAAAGGAAAACAGAGTAGCAGTTAGCTGTACAGGTTGGGGTAGAGAGTTGGAGGAAGAGGCTCTGTAGAAGTTGTGGAGGCAACAAGGGGGCTGAGAGAAATTAGTCTTGGGAGGAGTGAAAAAGAAAGGTTTGGGTGATATTTTGAGATGACGGTGGTAATGTAGCTAGGAGCAAAGTTGTGGATGACTTTGTATGATGTTAGTATTTTGAATTTAATTATTTGGATGAACGGAGGCAGTGGAGGGATTGTAGCAGCCACCATACAGTTGGTAAGGTGAATAACTCTTGAAGTCCCATTCATGATGGACTGAAGGGGCGATAGCCTGTGTAAATTTAGGCCAAAAAGCAGGGAGTTGTCATAGTCTAGGCAAAAGATAACAAGGGAGTGAATTAGGAGGGGTGTCATTTGTTAGGAAGGGGCTAATTTTAGAAAAACATTAAGATGGCAAGATTTGGACAGTGATTGCATGTGGTGCTGAAAGGCAAGGTCAGAATCCAGAATTACACCTAGCCTGGCATGAGGTGAGGGATTGATCATTGTGCTTTTGATCCTAATGGAGCAATTAGGGGGCAGGGCCCTTAGGGGGGGGGAGGGTTGGGGCTGTTGGTGGAAATATTATGTTCCCCCACTCACATTTTCTGAAAAAAAATGCTTCTTTCTACAGCTGGATAAGACCACGGACTTTGAAGAGAGGAGGTTGATAAGGACAGCCATGAGGGAGTTACGACAGAGGAAGAGAGGTATATTATAACATGTAAACTTGTAATGCTGGAGAGAAGGCTGACCCATATTTTTTGTGGAGAGACTTGATTCAATTGTGTGACCTCTGTTTCCAGAACAACGTGAGAAAGAAAGAGACCAGCGCTTACAAGAGCTGAAGAACAAGGAGAAGGAAGCCAGACTAGCGAGAAGCACAGAGACCAGTTTGCGGCAAAGTGAAACTGTAAACCATGGCAGAGCTGTCAGCACCATCACCAAAACACAAACAATGATGCAATCCAGTAAGTTTATGGTTGTGGAATTAACTTATAGTATCTTCCAAAAACACATTTTTAATTCACTTTAATGCATGTGATTTTTTTTGTATGCTGCTTTGTTTGAATGTATTGCATTATATATTCTCTAGGTGAAAATGGAACAATAATACTTTTTTTTTTTTTGCAGATGTTGGTAGTAGAACATCAAGAACAACTACAGTGGAGGCTAGTTATATGAAAAGATCAGAAAGTAAGTCCTGGCCATATTGCAGTGTTATTTGACCAGTGGTTACAGTAATCTTGAACACTTTGGGTTTGTGGGACATTGTATATCTAGCCTAAGGAAAGGTGAAAAATGATCATGGTCTTTTCTTGTGGGGTTAGCTAGCCCACAAGAGGAGGAGAGGAGAAATCTGCTTGTCCTCTGTAGCCCTGGAGCTCACTGTTGCTTCTTACTCTATCAGCCTGGTTGCAATGATTTGCCCACATATTAGAAAATCTCCATCAGCAATACCAAGTGCTTCCAATGGCTGCTTTCCCTTTCTAGGATAACCCTAAACATACCAGACAACATATCTATGTTGAGACCAGGGGTTTAAATGGGCTGTTTATGTCCTGGCTTTTCTATTCTTCGTATTGTGTAAGCTATGGATATTTTTTTCAGATGGTGGTACAGTTCTTCAGACAAAATCTGCTTCATATAGCTCAACATCCAACAAAGTCGGCAGGTAAATATGAAAGGTTTTTAAAGGGAACATATGGTGAATTTGCACATATTTCCTTCCCTTATTTATCATGGTCAGGACTGACAAAAAAATGTTATTAGGTACCTATTAAATATTGCATATTATTATTAATATTATGCAGTCTACTATCCAGCCAGCAGATGGAGTGGCAGGCTCTTCACACATGAAGCCTTGTATCGCCTTCTGCTGATCTGAAAGAAGTTGAATTTTGTAGCAGTTGAAAGTGCAATAACCTTCATAAAGAATGAAATGGCTCTAGGAAAATCCAAGCTTCACACAGAAAAAAAAACAGGGATGCTAGCCTAGTGAGATTTCCATTCTTGTTGTGCAAATTTCAGCCATGCACATGCCAAGGCCTAAACGTCCTATGCCATTCCACAATGCTCTTCCTAATTCTGCATTACAAATCTGACTTGCTATTAATAGAAGAAAAGCAAGAGGTTAGGCCATTGGTCTGGGGATCTGAGGGAAGCCAGTCCTGATTTTCCCCATCACCAAAAATGTGGTACCTGTGATACCAAGGCTTGAGTCGTCTGCCCAGCCCTGAAGAGAACATAGTCCACTGTGTACATTTGTTTTAGCGCAAAAAAACTGTTTCAATAACCTTTTTTAAAATTGAATTTTACACCATTGTAAATGCCAGGCTATGTGTGCATAACTCTATTTTACTGTCTGCAGTGTATTTGATCGAGAGGATGATGGTGTGGCGGCATTGGAGAGGAGACAGGCGGAAAGGAAGAAGGAGCTTATGAAAGCCCAAAACCTTCCTAAAACACCAGCCACACAGGCTCGCAAGGCCATGATTGAAAAACTGGGGAAGGAGAGTGGAAGGTATGCACTTTTACATTATCCATTGCACAGTTCTAGGGTTTGCACACCTGCCATAGGGGTTATTAGGGGAACCCACTTTTCCTACTGTATTTATAATTACTTTATATTATGGAAAAGGTAAAAGAATTTGAAACACCCAGTAACATCAGCAGGAAGAGAGACACTTCTAGGTATGTAGGAACAGAACTAGGAACTATAACAGGGCGATTGTTTGTTGATTGTTATAAAGATATTATTGTAACGCCCTCCACGCAAAACTCATTTGTTTGAAGTTATCGCTATTTTTATTCCCTATTTCTGCAATTTATTACTTATGCTTTACTTTTATTTATTAAGGAAGCGCAGCATCATTACCAATGTTTGTGCTATTTCTGATCTGCTTTTCTCTTAGGAGTTTACAGGATATTGTGTCTTTTTGTTTTTGCTACCTTGTAACTATAGACAGAGTGCAAATGTGTGGCTATCGGAATATTCCAAAGGCCTGGAAGTGCAGTGGAAGAAAATAACGAATAGACATATATTTACAGTGTTTATATTTCATTGGATGACCTTTCTGTAGTACAAATTTGTTAAAAAGTGGGGGGGGGGCTTTGAATTCATAAACCATTGTATAAGGCCATTTCTTTCCATATCCTTAAAATGCCATTTACAGAGTTTATCATCAGTAGGAAAGTTCTTCACTGTATGGAAATGTCATGGTTTTCCTCCTGTCTTGCTGTCAGATATCTGGGTTTTATTTGAAGTCACCAGCAAAGCAAGTATAGCTAGAGTCTTGTCTTACTGTCTGGCTGAGCATCTAGCCTGCCATATCTAGGCCCCTTACATGCATTAGATGATTCCCAACTGCTTACTTTAACCTTTTTTTTTTTTGCTAGACCCTTAAAACTGTCTGCTGTATTTTTAAGTATAGAGGACTTTGTAGATGCTCAGTCTTCACAGCAAAATAAGCAAGCAGTACAGTAACAATTTTGTATAGCAGCTTGTTTAAATAGAGTACATTTGTGCCCTGGCACTTCTATTTTCGGTGGGAATAGAATGAGTAGAAACTTAAATTGCTCAAAGTGTATGTAAACCCTAATGATAAACTTCTCTTGCTGTCTGTTAAATATACCATACGGACACATTTTGTTATATCTGTTCAATATAAACTTGTTGATCTGCCAGAAATCCAGCTCTGTTCTGTGCACTCTTTAAACATTATTATTAGCCCTGCCCGGGTCAGCTCTGTAGTCCTATAGAACACCTCTACCCTTTGTTATGGTGATGAGGGGGTGGTTTTCTGAAGTTTAAACACGCTTACTTACTCTCCTGGGGTAACAACTCGCTCCTATGTGAATATACCACCTTAAACCACATTGTCACCTTAGGACAACTATTGCTTATGGTCAGATCACCAGGTAAAAATAGGGAACAAAAACTTGAAAAGAGAAAACGAATGCAGCTACCACATCTATGGACTGGTAAGCTGCAATAGGTAACATTTAATGTATTGGTTTTAAATAAACTTTAATGTGCATGTTGAATGAGGATTGAGCGCTCTAGTTACTTTCACGCTGAACTGAAATTTAATGTCTTTGTGCATTTCTTTTTCTTTTTTAGTTCATCTACTCCTGCTTTTGCCAAAGTCGCCACTCCAAAATCATCTGCATTTGGAGTTCCGAATGCTAACAGTATAAAGCAAATGTTGTTAGACTGGTGCAAAGCAAAAACCCGAGGTTACGAGGTAGGTCTTCTAGTAGATCTTGTATGCTTCCATCTTGTTCATTTCTGGAAAAATCTTTACTCCTAAGGAATAAAGTAGCTTTAGGTTTAGCAAAATATGTATTGAGATAATTTATATAGTCTGCCATTGCTGACCTTTCCTACTGTTATGCTAAATGCTATTTACCTGGTTGCCATGCAGACAAAATAACATCAATGCTTTCACTAATCTGGCGCACATATGCGGTTCAGGAGTTCTGGCTGCACTTTGATTTAATTTTCCTATATGTTTGACCAGGTCAATAACTCGGAAAGTATTGAAGACGGAAAACATCAGACAACTTTAACATTTCAGGGAGAGGGCAGCAATTACATCATCTCAGTGGCATATTTTTTTTAGCTGTAGTTATTATTTAGCCCTCCCTGTTTGAATGTTTAACAACCATGTCACACCAGCATCATCATAATACATTTTCTATATCTTATAATCCATATTTGTTCATATAGCAGTGCTCATTGGTATTGGCAGGTACTCTTCATTATACTGTGATATACATTGTACAGTAAATTCTTCTTTGGATTTTTAATACAATAAAATGTATCACTAAAGATATCCACTTTTTCATTTTTATACTGAATGTAACATCACGTTTTAGTATCGAAGCGACGGTAAGCTAGCATTGTCACTTTCTTCCTTTCCTAGCATGTGAGCATCCAGAACTTTTCTTCCAGCTGGAATGATGGAATGGCCTTTTGTGCCTTGGTTCATAACTTCTTCCCTGAGGCATTTGACTACAACCAGCTAAGTCCACAGAACAGGAGGCAGAATTTTGACCTGGCCTTCTCAGCTGCAGAGTATGTATTGGCTTTCCTGACAAGCTTGTGGTTTTTTTTTAACCTAAGGTGCTTTATTTTTGCCGAAAAATTACTGTATGTTAGAAACACGCATTGCAGAAAAGGGAACACTTATGTCTTTTTAGTTTTATGAGCAAAAGGTTTTCCCAAAACCTAAAGCATGCAGGGTCTTCCAACGGTGAGTATTAGTTATGCATAATATGGCTTAAAGCTAAACTCCATGCTGCAGTTAAAGTTACCTTTTGATGTGGAATAAGGTGAAATAGTTTCCTTGTTCGAAAAATTCTTCCTCCTCTTCATTAGACCAGTCCCCCAGTGCTGCTCCTTTTAGCTGCCTGAAAGATAAACTTGGTCACGCCTCTTCAAAGGTCCTTTTAACTTGATGACCAGTAGAGAGGCTTGGGGGAATTGGGCTGAACTGTAGCGGAATATGTAAGATTTCTTTACAAATTTAACAGCTTATATATCTAAGCATACGACATGTTACTCCAGGCTGAAATTGGGCTCCACAGTCCATAGTTTACATCTCGGGTAGTGGCTCAACTCGGCTTATATTTCTGGATCTATGGATGATTTTTACATGAGGTTTTCTCGGAAATCCAGTCCTGGCTGTGCATTTTTTTATACATATGCTCAGTTTGGATTACTGAGGCTTATGACCGTTTACTTTAATAGCATGTAAGTGAGCATGTCCATTTTCCCAGCCACTAACTAAACGCCTGACTAATAGAGTTCCCCCTAATGAGTTCCCCAAATCAACAAGGTGGGTCTTGTACCTTTTTAGTGTTCTGTCAGCACTCAGCCTTGTCAGCTAGCCGTAAGCTCACACATCAGAGAGAGAGTGAGAGAGTCCTAAGCATCAGTCAGCTCTCAAATATAAAGGCATGTGGACAGCTGAAACTAATAATGAGGTCTTACTACCAGGCAAGTGGTAAATAGTGGGCCTAGAGATGGAGGTAATGTTCACCTAAAACTACAAAGCCTCTATACCCAAGGCAGGACGTAGGATTGTGAGAAAACAAAGTATTTTTCCACATCGGCCATAAAACCTGGAGTCCGTCACTATGGGTATGTGAGAAACCTAGGTGACATACACCTACCTCTGCCAGACAGTGCATTAATATAAATAAATATATACATATATTGGTTTGCCAAAATGCAATTTACTGTGTAACCATGACCATTTTAATGTTTGGCTGTGCCATTTTCTGTCCCCC